CTAGTAGTGTCATTGGCACGAGAATGTGCATTTAGCATCATAATAGAACTTCCTCTACCCACCCAAGAACTCATCATAATCACATATTCCAACAAATTAAGAATATAATTTATTGTATTATAATAATTGAAACATAAGTAAACTCATTTCAAAATTTCACAAAATAGTATAAAGGTAGGCAGCTAAATGTACTACTAAACAAAAATAAATTATTTTAGAATATAACCAAATTACTAGAGATTATTCAAAATATTATCTTGAATATTTAATTATACTACAACATTAATTTTTAGTGTAAAAATTATTTTCTAATAAGTTAAAATAGAATAATTTATAAAATCCACGGTGTAAAATTTTTTAAAAAATACTTAAATATTCTGAATCATTGTTTCTATAATATATAGAAAGTTAAATGATGAAAGTTTTGCTTATAAAAAAGTTATCTCATTTTTTTACTAACAGAATTTTAATTTAAATCAAAAAAATCTTAAAATATTTATATTTTTTAAAGCTGAGATAAGCTAAATGTCACCTACCTCAATCCGAGCAACATTAAAAACTAGTCCAATAGCTGAAATTGGATTGAAGCACCTAAAAGGAACTTTCTCTCTCTAGAAATCTCTCTATATCTCTCTAGTCGGCTGCCTTCAGTGATAAATGAGTTTAAATTAGTGAAAATGATATTGAAATAAAAAATTCATGCCAAGCGCCATGGTGCTCAGTCAAGCCAGTTTTGTAGCGCTCCCTATCAGAGTTTAAAGCATCATGACATAAAACCCAACGTTATTGCACTAGTTTAATCTAGGGGTTTCAAAAAGGGCTTGCAGCTCCGGTTCAGGTCGAACCTGATATTAACATGCTACTATTTGACTCGAACAGAACCCTACCCATTTTTGAAAACACATAATAATTAAAAAACTTGATCCCAACCCGCCAAGTTGCCACTTACGAGAGCAACGAGCATGAGTGCGGGTAAGGGCGAGTATAGGCGAGGTAGTCGGGCATGAGTACGTGCAAGGCAGACGGGCTGAGGGAGAGACAAGCTAGCGCATGCGAGGTAGGCAATTAGGCAAGGCTACAAGTGCTGGACTGCTGAGCTGACTGGGTAAGCCCGAGCACATGTTGTAGGGTAAGCATGGAGAGGGGTCGCGGGCGAGTCACAGACTCATAGTGATGTGTGAGATAGGAATTGGGTTGATGTTGGATTTTTGGGTTTACCCGAACCGGACCCAAATTTACAATCGGGTTAGAATTTTAAACTCGACCCAACCTATTTCCCAAATGAGTTGAACCTAACCTAGAATTTTTGGGTCGGGTTTGAGTCAGCTTTTTAGGTCATGTCAAATATTGACACCCCTAGTTCAATCTTTCGAAATTCCAAAAAACTTAGCATTGGGTTGCCAACTTCCCTAGTGCTACGGTGCCCTAGGGGGAAATTTTTATATCTTCATAATATGCAAACAGATCCCTTGGACCTACTTTAAAACACATACGGACTCTCACATTCATATTGAATATTTTCTGACACTTATAGAAGAGTTCAAATGCTAGAATTTAATTGGTTATCTTGAATCTAGTTGGTTTAGAACAGATTGAACGTATTCTAATCCTAGAGGTGTCATAACTCTCTCCTCCTTAGAAAAATATCATCGTCGATGTTTTGAAACTCATACCCTTTGAATAGATCAAGATACAATTGCTTCATCTCATATTCCTTTTCCTAAGTAGCTTCACTTTCAGTTCTATTCTTCCACTAAATTTTAACCATTAAAGTTCGTTTATTACTTAGCCTCCTAACATTATATGCTAGAATCCTCTTTGGTTCTTCTCTACAACTCATATTGAGATGTATCTCATCTTGTTCAATAGATATACAATTCTTGGAATTTGATACCCACTTCCTCAGAAGTGACACGTGAAATACATTATGAATTTCATATGTATAACAATCTAATATAGAAAGCATCATATCTAAAAAAATAAATTTCAAATACTACACGAAGTAAACTAATCAAATGACAATATAAAAAGATATTATATGCTCACCACAAAATCACATTACAATAGCTAAATTGGATCACGCTTACTCCTAATTGAATTAAAAAAGAAAAGCTAGCATTTTTCTAATTAAATAAACCTCTAAGTATTAATCAACATAACAAAATAAACAAATAACATAATCACATTACAAGTAAATAAGCAAGCTTTCATGTGTCACTAGTTAACTAAGGAAAGGTCAGCTAATACTGCTCTAGTTAACTAAAGCTATGAGTATAAAAAAATATATCAAAATTGACAAAAAAAATCACAAATCACTGGATAATTCTAGACCTAAGCTAAGCAACACAAAAAAAAATTAATACATTAATTTAATAGCATATTAGAGAATAATCTATCATTATAATTAATCTAAATTATGATTAAAACTAATAGCCTAATAAGTGAATATTTATAAGTCATCAAATAACATAATAACAAAAATTTAGCATTATCAATATTTCCTTTTATATTATAAAATCAATCCATGTCCATCAATCATTCAATGTGTTCTTGCTTACACTTTGAACCTCCTCAAATGAAATGGTGCACAATTATCATGCTTGAAAATAACAAACCCATTAGGAGCATGCACATGCAACTCCTTCCCTTACTCTTAACAAATAAATATATAAAGACTTATCAGTTATTCATAATAGTTAGTGTAATATCAAAAATCTGCTCCAGGATCGTCTAGGACGATCTGGATCGTCCTGGGACGATCAGTGGAAATTTTGCTCCAGAATTTGCCCAGTTTTGCTCCAGGTGATTTTCTGTACACATCGTCCAGGCCGATTTGGACATCGTCCAGGCCGATCGGCACTGTAGAAAATATCGGCATGAGAATAGTTCTGGGAACCGTCCAGGACGATCCAAAATGGTCTGATCGTCCTGGGACGATTTGGCGATCGGCCGGGCCTTGCTTACACTTAGAACCTCCTCATATGAAATGGTGCACAATTATCATGCTTGAAAATAACAAACCCATTAGGAGCATGCACATACAACTCCTTCCCATACTCTTAACAAATAAATATATGAAGACTTATCAGTTATTCACAATAATTAGTTTACTATATCACTCTGAAATGAGGAAAGGTAGGCACAAATCTCATAAAAATTCAAATATATTTTTAAAAAGTCGTCACTTTGTGGATTCACTAGTCTTGCTATGCACAATAGTTCTCTAAATGACTTTACTAGATTTGGTTGAAATCAAATGATCGGGCCAAATGCCTGAGGAATGTCAAATAATATATATACAAGCTTAGCTTGATTAAGATAATTAAACCTAAATCAAGATATGGGGTTTTAGAATAATATGACTTAGCTCAAGTTAGACTTATCTTAATTTGATATATATTTGATTGAGGAATTTGTTAACAACAAGAATGACCCATTTCAAAATAAAGGTCATTAATGAACACTCAAATGTGTGGGAGATTTAATAAAAGCGCCTCACGTATTGGAGTTGACTAAAATACATGGATGAAAGTGATGACTTAACTACTATAGCAAGATATGTCAAGAATATAACCTGGCCTTAAGACAATGAGCAAAGAAAGGTCATTTGGTGCTAAGGTAATGTTGAAGTAGAAATGAAAGATATAATCTTGGTTCAAGTGAAAAGAAGGGCTATGAAAAAATACTTATACTGAAGCAATGCAGAGTCAATAAAATGTTTAGCTCTAAAGTAATAGAGATTAATAACTCTACTATAAAGGAAATGAATAGTCAAGAAAATTCATGACTCTAAGAAATAATAGTTATGACTCAACTCCAAAGTCAACAAAGAATCAAGAAGATGCTCAACTCTAAGACAATAAAGATCTATGACACAACAAATATGGCCATGAAGAGTCCAGAAGATGATTGACTCTAAGGTAATGAAGAACTATATCTTGGAAGCTAAGGTTAAAGACAAGACCAAGAGATTTCACTCTTTAAAAGGGCCCTCATATCATGTAAATCCTAACCCTTTTCCCTTGCATTCTCCTCCTCACTTCGTAAACTTTTTCACCACAATCCCACATGTCATCTAGACCCCATCCCTTACTTGGCCAAGCTCTTTCAAACTATTCCATACCACAAAATAATCACTTAATTGGTTGAAAGTTCACCTTCCCATTATTCTCATAAGTCAGCATGCACTATATTATCCATCATATATCATCCTTTCTTTAAACCCACATTGAGGGTTTCATTCGTTTCAAATTCTCACCTTCCTTCATATTTCATTTTTGACATCAGAGCTAAAATGTTTTGAGAATTACTTATATAGAATACTAAGTTTAAATTAAAAATAAATAAAATTTTAATTGAAATTTTGTTATAATATTAAAATTAAAAATTTGATTATAAAATAAAAATTTAAAAATCAGTTACTAAAATTTATTTTTAGAAGGGGCTGACAAATTGATTGTCTAAAGAAGATGATCATAAGAATCAATTTATGAATTCTTCTCCATGCAAAGCCACGCCTAAAAGGTTTCACAAAAGCCAAGAGGTTCATATGATCAATGCCCCAAAAGTGTTTACAAGCATAATAATTTTTCCAAAATACGATCATCTTTGCGGAAGGCAAAGTGCTTTTGCATTGAAGGAGATCGGACTTCGTTTGCTTACCTAAAAAGGCAATAGTTAAATATATATCAAAATTGCCGTTGAACATTTCGTGATATGATATGATGGATCTGGACGGTTAGGATTCAAACTTAACGTTACTCACGAGTCTTGACCGGACCTACATTCAAATTCAAATACTAGGTTATCATTCTTTATATTTGCCCGTTTCCTTTTTATATTGCAACGTTGGAGATTGAACTGGTTGCTACAATTCTTTCTTCCTTTCTCTCTCTCTCTCTCTCTCTCTCTCTCTCTCTTCCAACAAGCCGTGAAGTCAGAAGAAGAAGCTGGGAGAAGGAAGAAAGGAAGAAATAAGAAGGCAACGAAAGAAAAGAAGAATGGAGGAACCATCAAGACTCTCGTTTCGCAAGGGTCGACTGGCATCAAGAAAGGCCGAGGAAGCTGGTTTGCTTCATTACCTTTCCTCCTACTCCTCCACATCTCTTTTTCTTTTATTAGATAAGTTGCGCCGAATCTTTGCTTGATTGATATCATGTCAGCTATGACCGGTATCAGCCATTTACTATCGGATCGAAATATGTTTTCGTTTGCTCAGTTCTTTTTCTTGATTCAACTTTTATTTTTTAGTTTAATCTTTGAAGCTGCGCAGTCGCTCAATCTTCTGAGCTTCAGCATCGATTGTTTCACTGTAGAAATCATTATTGGATTATTTTTTCATCTCGGTCCTTTGGGGAGATTTCCTCATTCTGTCTGGTTTAAGAAAAGATCATATTTTTCCCCTTTTATTCTTTTCAATGGAACATAGGGTTTCAACTGAACTCTCTTCTTCCTGAATTCTGACAGCTTATAGGCGTTTCCAAGCTGCGACGTGGCTTGAAAAAATGGTCGGCCCTCTAGGCTTGCCTTCTCAGCAGCCTTCCGAGCAAGAATTTGTCTCATGCTTGAAAAACGGCCTAGTCCTTTGTAATGCCATTAACAAGATCCAACCTGGTGCTGTTCCTAAGGTATCCTTCTTGAGTCACATCAATGATAAATTGAGAACTGAGAGTGGTTGGATAGCTGAATGGGATAAAAATGATGTTGTGACAAATCTAGAAATTAGATATTAATAAATGTTAATATTTAAGAAATAGATAAGATTAGAGAAAGTCGCCTTAGATGGTTTGGTCACATTAGACCTTCCAATGACTCGGTTAGGAAAGTTGAGGTATTATATTTGACTTATGTTAAGAAAGGTAGAGGTAAACATAAAAAGATTTGGTTAGAAAATATTAAAAATGATCTTTCTTTATTAGATTTAAATGAGAATTTGACTTTAACCGGACTCAATGACCAAAAAGATTCATGTAGCTGATCCCACTTAGTGGGACAAAAGCTTGATGTTTTTGTTGTTGTTGTTGTGAGTAGCTTCTATGTAAGATATAAGGTAGATTAAAAAAAAAAATTGATTAGGGCATATAACAAAGATTACAAGATGCACCATAAGATGAATAAGTAAAACTAATGCAAAATGAATTTAAAAAAAAAAAAAAACTAGGTTGGATAAAGATAACTAAGAAGTTGAGCAAAAATATTTCTGTAAAATATGATTAACGCCTCACTTGTAAAATATGCTTAACGCCTCACTTAGTACTGAACAGGGGCAATCAATGAAAGAATGAGAATGTATAAAATAGATAACAAATAAACAAGCTTATAATGATCTTTCCTTCTATGTTGATTTTTTCTTGACAAGGCATTGTCTTATTGATTTATATTCTGAATTTTGGTAAGGTTGTTACAAACCAATCACTTGGTCTCACCTGGGAGAACCAGACCCTACCTGCTTATCAATACTTTGAGAACATCCGCAACTTTCTTGATGCTGTTGATGAGTTGAAAATTCCTAGTTTTGAAGCTTCGGATATTGAAAGAGTAAGAGTCTAACATTTACACTAGAAACTAACATGCCTTTATGTAGTTATTTACTAATTTAAAGCTTTCATCATTTGCTGTGATAGGATACTGTGGAGGCTGGCTCAGTAGGAAAGATTGTTGATTGTATCCTAGGCTTAAAAGCCTATCATGATTGGAAACAGTTCAGCAGGGGTAGTGGAGCCTGGAAATACGTGAAGTCCCCCATGGTTTCCCACGCTAAAGTTGGAATTCATTCGAAAATGCCAGCTTTAAGCTCCTCAGTCAGATATTTAGACATGTCAGCAAAATCTGAGAAACTGCAACCTATGAAGCTTGATGATGATCAAAGGACTGGAGGTTTACATTTTTTTAATTTATTTTTTTATTTTTTTTGTAGAAGTGATGATAAAGAGAATAAGAACTTATTCTATTAAACTTGGTTTCAATTGTTTGATGAAGAGCTAGGTGCAAAAAAAATATGTTTCCAAGTTAGAAAACCTTAAATTTGTTAGTTTATTTATTTGTTTTAATTCTTTTTGTGGAGAAAAAAATACACAAATCGTATAATCCATATTGATCAATCAAATCCTTTCAGTGCCAAAAAAAGTTTAAGTTGATGAATGATTCATCGATTTTTACAAGCATTTTTTCTGTCTTTTTTTTTCCTTAATTCCAGCTAAAGTGGATTCTCTCGTGCAAGCAATGACTGATATATTGTGCAATTCAAAGGAAAACATTGATCAAAATATTTTTGATTCGTGGCAACAAGGAACAGTGGTAAGCTGCTAGAAAACTTTAAGCCCCGCATATAGTACATGTTCTTTTTATACATTCAAGTTCTTTGCTCATTAATGGCGTGCTCATTCAATGACAGGACCCTGTGAAGCTGTTTAATAGAATCATATCAAGTTGCCTCCAAGAGCAACAGGTTTATTTCTTATAACATTGTAGTACCCATTCTATATGAGATTAGACTTTACTATAGACTATTTTCGCCTTTGTTTTAAGAATTGTTCTATTTCTGTGTTTGCATGTTATAGTCCTTGCATTATATGTCGAAACCAAACAATAATTAAAATTTCTATTCTCGATGAACAGTTAGACTCTGTTGAGGATTCCATGATGGAAGGAAAGACAACATTAGATGTTTGCAGATCGAATAATATTTGCAAGGTACAAAATACTAATCCCTCTTTATTTGTCATAAAATTGTATTTAAAAATTAGTAGTATTGCCATGGACGATTTTCTTCATGTTCTGAAATAGCATTTGAAAAGACTAGTGATTTGATCAGGAACAACTAGGTGAATAGTACATGCGTAAATTCTTTGAAAAATCTATTGATGATTTCAATTCCATGCCATGCAGAATTGCAGTTTTTGCCAGGGAAAGACATCTTGTAACCACTGGCAACTTATGGAGTCCCAAAAAACTGAACTCAAGGTATTCCAAAGTATGCACATTCTTGTATTTTAGCTCATTGTATTGCCTTATGAAGGACGTATTTGTTTTCATTTGTGAATGCTTGAACCATTTGGCTAGAGCCGATGCAATCTCGAACCTATTAAACAAATTGACTCGAGTGAACAAGCTCAAGACAAGTCATATTCTTCACAACCTTACCACATACAGAAACAAAGATTGCAAGTGGAGGGTTTGGGCAGTGGAGAAACTATTGCAAAAGTTTTTGTTGATGGGAATAACATCAGAATGGCCTGTGTTTACCTATCTATGAGAATGTCAATGCCTTTGATCATGCCAGCATATACCCGTTACTACCCAAACCATTATGGAATGTCCATACTTTTTCATGTTGTCATCTCCTAGACACCATTATTTAACTAGACATTTGTCTCTATGCATTCCTTCAAGGAAGAGAAGTCATATAAAATGGCAAGACATTGTCGCTATTTCTGTTAGCTCCATCCAAGATGCAATAAACATCCTGGCAATTATTTCTACTAACAATCCATTGAAACTTCACTATGTCACCTCCATGATTATTTCATAAACAATGTTACATGTTTAGATCTTTGATCTAAGACATCTCTAGTGGCAAATATCATCATGAACTCAGTCTCACCCACTCAGATTAACCCCAAGGTCAAACAAGTCTTACCCTAGTGGTAACCACCATTAAATAAAAAATTTCATCATGAAATTTTATGATCTCCATCACCCATTATGAATAAATATAAATATTATTTGGGGTAAGGACTAATGTAACCATCCATAAATCTAAATAGGGCTTTTTACAAAACAATTGAATGAGCTTTAATCCTAAGACTCAAAGTTCTACAAAAAATTGCTCTCCTTCAGTGGCCCTCATCATGCTCTCATTCATGGTCACTACACCTGATTATGTTTCAGTGCTTATTGACTCTGACACATCATATGTATCTTAAAACCTATAACTTTTTTTTACTATGAAATATCAATAATATTTTAGTAAGTACAATGCTATAAGCAAGATTTCTTAATCAAAGATTTTATTAGGTAGAAAATACTTGGTGTGGATAAGGATATAGATCAAAGGGGTTCTAAAGGCTAAAGATGTGACGTGGACAAGGATTTATAATATGTTGGGGACATGGATGAGTTGTTTAGATTTGAGAGAAAGTAATAAGTTTGTTTAATTTATGCTTAAGAAACATAATCCAATCATAAGGATACTTAAGAGAATGAAGGTAAATGATGACAACATCAAGGATAATGAGGCTTATATTCTAGGATATTTGATGAGTATGGATTAACAGAATAGTTTGGAACTACTGCTTAACTATAATAGTAACATTGGATAAGATGCCTAAGTAAACCTATTAATATCACATTACTTATCATGCTTCATTATTGTAATCAATGAAGGAAATGCCACTACCCATCCTCATTTGAAGACATATTATAATAAGCAACACATCATTGTTCTTGTCGTTGATTATTATCATGTGTTGTCTGAGCACGACTTAGGCCCAATCATTGTTGATTTCCTAAGGTAAGATATCATGAAATTCTCATGCTTTTACAAGGCACATAAATCTCTCGCAAGCAAAAGTATCTACCACATGCCAAAATTGAATCTCTAGCTTCACTTTAAAAGACATTTAAGTATGGTTTATGTTCTACATGTCGAGTAATTTTAGTTTTTTGTTTTAGCAATTCCACTAATTTTCAAGAAAATTATTTTTTTGAAACTTCTCCAAACTTTTGGCTTTGGTACTTTTAAATGCTTCTAGCAATTAAATTTTTATATTCATGGGTTACATATTTTTGTAGAAGTATACAAGTTCAAAATTCAATTGTAATCTGTGTCATTCTTAATGTGGTCTACTTAATTCATATTATTTTTCACATTTTAAAATACTACAAATTTGCTTTGTGCATAAGTTGACTAATGATTTTTTTTTTTTTTAAATGTAACAATATTTTATATGTTACTCCTTGCAATTTTAGTGCAAACGAAGTCTTTTTTTATGTTTATGCATCCAAGGAAATTTAATTTCTTTTGTTAACATTAATTGCTTAGGCCTTTCCTAAATTTTGTTGACATTTCTTTTACTCGGTGTTTTCCAGGAAATCAAAGCCCTCTTGTCAAATACCAAGTTAGAATGTGCTGCATTGCAGTCTCAAGTACAAAATGATTTGACACAAATAGGTTTGATATTTTTTAGTTGAATGAATCCACCTAAATTATGATTTTATAGGCTTTTAGTTGACTGTTCATCTATTCTTCTATCTTGTTTTGTGATCAAATAGTGTAAGAAGTCAAAGGAATTTCATCCAGATTATTTTCTCTCTGAAATTTCCTCCCCACAACCTGTCCACTCAGCAGTCCAGCCGCCAACCAGCAGCTTCCCGCCAGCCACAGGCCCACCAGCTGCCGGTCAATTCCCTTCCAGCCAGCCCGTGGCTTCATCCCACCGGCCACAGCCCATCCCGTCCCGTGCAGTCACACCCCCCCCCTTACGGCTCCAATCTCACGAGTAAACAGCCTTCCGTGAGCCTCCAGCCCCCCTCCTTGCCGTTCCCTTGCCGCTGGACCCTGTTTTGTCCAAGCCGTGAGTTTCTCTTCCCCAGGTCACCGTCTCCCTGCAATTCCCTTACAGCCGGTCAATCCAAACTCTGCCCCAAGCCGTGAAATTCAATTCCTGGCGTTTCAATTAATTGCCTAATTGAAATCCATCTTAAGGCAAGCAATTAATGACAATAGGAGCTATTTGAAATTTGAATTCTCCTTACTAATTGAGCCAATTAATTTGGTGAATTAATTAAGGGAGTTACACTCTTTTGACATTCAAATTCCCTCCTAATTTTTATTTAAATTAGGGAGTTACATGAGACAATTAAAATCTGAAATTAAAAATCAGGTTTTAATTAATTACTAGTGGTCCCCACTTACTTAAAACCTCCAAGCCCTCTCTCTCTCCATGTGGCCGGCCACCTCACCCCATTGCTTCTCCCTCTAATTGCCACCTCATCTCCTCTTAATTACCGCCCAAATACCTCCCTTCTCACATGAACTCTCAGTTTTATTTCAGATTTCAAATCTGAGAATTGAAATCAAGTGCTCCCTCTCTCCTTCCATTGGATATCTTCTTGCGAACTTGCTGCCCAACAGATTTTTGCAGGTCCACCTTAGCTGGACAGCTCCAGAAGGCAACCCCTTGCTGCCCATACGTCTCCTGTCTGCTGTTTTGCATTTCCCGCACCTAAAAACTGCTGTTTAGGAGATCGGGAGCATGCTCTCTTGCTGTCCAGCCCATTAGAATGTCTTCAGACACCGTCCGGACATTCCAGGCCGCTGAGTACACCTTCAAGAAAACGTTGTCAAGAACTTCATGCTCCGGCCACCTATCCAAGAGCGACGATCCAAGGCTCTCCCCTCCTCGAAGCGACCTCGATTCTAAGGTGGAGACGTTTCTCCCGCTAAAGCCTAGACTAGTCGAGTGTATGGTCTCCAAAGGTGAAAGTTCTTATTATTAAATTGTGGATTCTTGTTCACCGTCGTAGTTTTACAATTTGAACTTTGCGTTTTCTTAAATTGTTTGGTTTCCGAAATTTGCTCATCTTTGCCTAAGCAAGTTAAAACCACGGATTCTAATGATCACTCTTTTATTATAAACGATAATTTTATTTTGGGTTATTAAGTTTCAATTGATCTCTTTAATTTCTTAAAGTAACTCCTCCATCGCATGTACGTTTCACATCATCTTGGTATCAGAGCATGGTTACCATGCTTGACATGCATAGCCTAAATTTTGTTGACATTTCTTTTACTCGGTGTTTTCCAGGAAATCAAAGCCCTCTTGTCAAATACCAAGTTAGAATGTGCTGCATTGCAGTCTCAAGTACAAAATGATTTGACACAAATAGGTTTGATATTTTTTAGTTGAATGAATCCACCTAAATTATGATTTATTAGCATTTAAGTTGACTGTTCATCTTATATATTATATCTTATATCAACGAGGTGACGCTAATGTTGAGTTAGCACCATTATTAACCTCAAAAGTTACGAGCCTTTAAAAGCTTCTTAATTGACAAAAAGCCAAGTAATTGTGTTATTTTCTCTAGATTTTTCCTGTCACATTATAAAATTGTCTTTCATCATTTGTTTAGGAAACCAACTTGAGTGGCTTTCTACTGCTGCTGATGGTTATCATCGAGCAGTCAAAGAGAATAGAAACTTGTACAATATGCTTCAAGAATTGAGAGGTTTGTTAATTTTTACTAGAGACATCTTGGATGAACAATATTAGAGGAAAATTCTCATTGTAGGTGCCTTCAGGAAACATTCAAGTTTTTTGCAGAGTTCGGCCAGCATTTGTGGCAGGAGACAAAGGTTCAATTGATTACATTGGAAATGATGGTACATTGATTTTACTCGATCAACTTAAGTCACAAAATGTGCGCAAGACTTTCCAGTTTAACAAGGTTTTTGGACCTAATGCAACTCAAGGTAAGTTGATGTGGCATGTAAGGAGCTTGTAAGTTTCATTATTTTCATAGTCCTGACCTCATGTTGTTGAACTGTTAGAGGAGGTCTACAAAGCGACTGAATCTTTAATCAGATCTGTGATGGATGGTTATAATGTGTGCATTTTTGCTTATGGTCAGACAGGTTCTGGCAAAACATATTCTATGGTAAGGTGCTTAATTATACTACCAAAACATTTATACTCTGATGTTTTAACATTAAAGATACTTACCTTGCATACTTTTTTCCTTGCTAGTGTGGCCCAGAAATTGGGTCTGCTAAAGATATTGGAATCAACAGCAAGGCTCTTAATGATCTCTTCCAAATATCTTGCATCAGAGAGGATATCAAGTATGAAATACATGTTCAAATGGTCGAGATTTACAATGAACAAGTCCGTGATCTCCTTACTGAAGAAACTTCAACAAAAAAATATCCTTTGATGCACATTGTGCTCTTGTTCTTAAAGGATAAACTGGTTTTCTACAATTCTTTTTCTGCAACCAGCAGACTTCTGCTATCCTTAACCACTTGTACATTAGAGATTCGAAATTGTTCAAGCAATGGTGGTTTAAGCCTTCCGGATGCCACAATGCACCATGTGCAGTCAACTAGTGATGTCATGAATTTGATGAAAGCTGGAGAAAAGAATCGCGCCTTCAGTTGCACTGCAATGAACAATAGAAGCAGCAGATCTCATAGGTTCTAGCTTTAATATATATTCTTAAAAGAGGCTGTTGTTCACTGGTCTTATTCTATTTAAGGCTTCGTTTGGAACTTATTTCTTTCTGCTTCTTAAAGCAGCTTCTTAATACAAAAATTAAAATTTTTATTCTAAGAAGCTGCTTAAGCAATATGAAAGTCGTCCCAAATAAAGTCTAAATGTGAATGATATTTTCATATCGATGTAATGCTATGTAAATACTTGGTTAAGAATGAATCAGACACGTTTAACGCTGCATTTTAATAATCCTAATACTTAATGACACTGGACCAAATAGCCCAGGTTACTTTTGTACTACTTTCATAATTGAAACTGGTTTCTAATGTTTGAATCCCTGTGCAGTGTATTGACAATTCATGTATGTGGAAGAGATGTTTTGGGAAACAAACTACAAAGCTGCCTGCATTTGGTAGACCTTGCAGGGAGTGAGAGGGTGGATAAATCAGAAGTTACTGGAGATAGATTGAAGGAGGCACAACATATCAATAAGTCTCTTTCTTGTCTGGGAGACGTTATTGCTGCTTTGGCTCAGAAGAGTTCATACATTCCATACAGAAATAGCAAACTCACTCAACTACTGCAAAACTCACTAGGTTCTAACCTGATTCACTATGGCCAAGAAGTTTTGCATTTTATTTAGCTTATTTTTTTCTTGAAATGCTGATCTTAGGAGGACATGCAAAGATGTTAATGCTTGCTCACGTAAGTCCAGAAGCTGAGTCATATGGAGAAACAATAAGTACTCTTAAGTTTGCACAGAGAGTGTCCACTGTAGAGCTTGGTGCTGCTCAAGTTAACAAAGAAAGCAGTGAAATTCGTGATCTTAGAGAACAGGTAAAGCTTTAACCTAGGTTTTATTTAGGACGATTTTTTTACTGCTTCTTAAAGCAGCTTTCTAGTACAAAAATTTTAATTTTTGTGCTACAAAGATGTTTTTAGAAGCAAGAAAAAAAGCTGTTCCAAATGAAGCCTTAGTCTTCATTTGAGATAATTTTCTTACTGCTTTTTAAAGCAGCTTTCAAGTACAAAAATTTTTTGAAAGCAACAAAAAAAATAGTGGCAAAAAATTGTTCCAAACGAAGCTTTAATAAACTGATTTGATTTATTAGATTATCTGCATGATTAGTTAGTAAAGCAACTTTGGGATCCATCCTGACAAATTTCAGGTAGATAATCTCAAGAAAGAGCTGGCAAGCAGGGAGCGAGAGAAGGCTTTACATTTGCATAAAATGAAGGAAAACACTTCATTTTCAGAGAGAAAACTGCCGATCAAATCCCCTCTTCCAAGATCAAAATTCAGCACAGAAAATTCTGTAATGCGTCTACGGAGATTGAGTCTGGAAGGTTGCGGGCATGATGACAAAAGTCAACATCAAAACAAAAACTCGGAGTCAGATGTAAGAATTCATAGCTAAAGCTGTTTTCATTGGCAAACTTCATCCTGATCACTTCTCTTTTTTTGAAGCAGCTGCAACAAAAATCACAAATAGAAGAAGAGCAATTAAAAGAAGTTGCTCATGAAGAAATCAAAGCGAATGAAACCATTGAAAAGTTGGTTCAAGTAAATGAAATAGAGGGGGGATTGCCTAGTTGTTCTGCTATTTCAAATTCTTCTTCTGTAAACCAGTTGACTACTCTTGGGAGCAGATGTAGGCAATTGGGAGAGGTGGAGACCCCTGATACTAACAAAATTAAGCTGAATTCTAATTCTTTCTCGAGCTCGAAAGGATCACATATACGGAAATCGCTGAAGACAATTGGCAAGTTGATAAATGGATCTGAGAAGAGGTAAATTGACTCTTGAGTCCTAATTTTCATTTTTCATGTATTAGTTTATTTGATTTAACTAAATCTTTTTGCAACTGACCATGCAGGAACTATCAAGTGTCATCTGTAATGCCATGCAAGCAAGATAAAGACTTGAAGGCCTTAAAGAAATCACCAGCAACAGTGGAAAGCAGGTATAAGAGGAGGCAATCTTTAACCAATGTGCAAGCATTTGAAATCAAGGGATCTAGGAGAAGCTCCCTTGGAGGAAAATCTGTTGAATCATGTGAGTTTTTCTGATTAATTTGGCCAAATTTTGTCGTACTTTAATTTAGTTATTTTTTGCTAGGACATTGAAATTCAGAAGCAGCCAGTAATACTAACTTAACTATTTAAACATGCATCATGATCATATTTTATGCACGACAACTTATAGCTTCCTTAGGGTGATCTGGAAAATGTTTTAGTTGATCCTATCAATGACTAAGAAAATGATCTTCACTTAGGATTCAAAGCAACTAAATAAATTAAGTGAATTGAAATCTTCAGCAAATTACTTAATAATTGAGAGTTAAAGACAGATGATTTTAGACTAGTTTCAACTTTAAGCAATGCAAGTTCAAAATATCACAAGATTGCAGCGTATGTAAATTATTTTTTAAGTGATGTCTAAGGCTTCGTTTGTGATGGCTTTCTTACTGCTTCTTAAATCAACTTTTTTTGTAAAAAATTAAATTTTTTGTACTAGAAAGTTGTTTTAAGAAGCAATATGAAAGCCGTCTCAAACGAAGCCTAAATGTGAAAGATTCTAACACAATGCTAAGCTAATCACTATGACACTTTGGTAGAAGGTCTCAAGTATGAGATCTAGAGAGCAAGCAATTGTAAATACTGAAATATGAGTGTCGAGATAACTAGAAGATAGTTGCCACAAGCTGTCTTTTGTTTTGAAACTCGGTGCTGCATGAGCACACAAGAGCAAGAACAAATGGAAGAAACTAAAACTTTTATTTTAAACAATCGAAGTTTCTCATTACAAATGACCCACCACTATTAATAGCCATGGAGAGGGGGGTGACTGAAAGACAATGAAAACATAAATAAAAATAATAAAATAAGGGGGAGGGTGGCTGGCCACATAAATGAGGGAGAGGGAATCAAAAAGGCATGAAAAAATACTATTATACATAGAGAAATCACATATATATTGCAAAAAATAAAGAAAAGTAGTAAATGAATGTAGAAGACAAATGGTGACACATAGATTCAAGAAAGAGGAGACGATGAATGGTAAAGCTGACTAGAACCCAATAGCATATAAGATCTCAAATACGTCACAAAGTACTCAAAATATATGAAAATGACGTGATAATCTCACCATACATGAAAAACACTCGGTGCATAATACTCCCATATCCCATAAGTACAAGCAGTACCTATTTATTCATGGGAAAATTTTGTGTTGCAAGTTCCTGGAACAAATACTGTTAGAAGTGGCTTCTTATTGCAGTTCTTTTAGAAATAATGAAGACAATCACAATAATTTTGAAGGGAAAAAAATTGAAAGATATTGATATGATATGCACAGACAAAACTAACTACAATGTTTTTAAGCATCTTTTTTTAATAGCATGTGCTTCATTATGTGTCATAACAAAAAGTCACTCATGATAGCATATATGTAATAAGCCCTTCATGTTTTTTCCCTTTATTCAGAGCATAGCACTAAGGTTTCATTGAGACAGCTTTCTTAATGCTTCTTAAAGCAGCTTTGTATTACAAAAATTAAAATTTTTGTACTAATAAGCTGCTTTAAGAATAGTAAAAAAGCTGTCCCAAACGAAGCCTAAATTTATAAGCTTGATAAGATTCACAACCATCCAGAGCGCTTCTAATGAAAGACGATTTGGGGAGCTCCTAACACATTTTTTTCTCTTATCCTTGCCTGGACTCTTGAATAAGGTGTGAAAAACATTAAAAATATGACTTTCTATGACAGTAAAATCATAATCATCGACTTTAGAATCATCCAATAACATTAAGAAACATTGCAACTAAAACATGAATCATGAACATATTAAGAAAGACACTTATCTGCTACGTATGCTGCGTTTTGATGAAGATTTTCTATGTTATTTCTTAAGAACATAATAGTTTATTTCATTCTAACATATGAGCCATAACAGATTCAACAGTGGGTATCCCAGGCCCAAAGACTCCTCCAGCTTTTCCTGCACCGGCAAAGAACACAAACAGATGGCTGTGAATCTTATTAACTTGATGATGCTCCCCATGACTAGGATTGAAGCTGTGACTTTGACGCAAGCATTTGCTTCTTTTCCTTGCGAGGTTCAATAATGTATTATTCTTTAGATGACTTTACAGCAGCAGTTATTCGCTGCAGCACTCTTTCATTTTTGTTTTTCTACTTCATTACCAATGAATAAAAAGGCATGTATACCTTGCAGCAGAAACCAATATATGCTTCCTTTTATATTAGCGTTATATTCTCAGAAATAGGTGAAGACGATGGATCTTAATTGTATTGTCAAAAGTCCATTCTTGAATGTCGTCATGGTTAGATCTTTCTCTGCTTAGACAAACTTGAACTATGCATATAGAAATGTATGAGTTATTTGATTGGATGCAAATATAAAATCTAAAATTTTTTTATTTGTTATGATACAATTTAAATGCATTAAAATGTGGATAAAGATGTGTGTGGGTGATGCAAGCGGATGCGGGTGGGTGGTTTATTCCCGTAAATTTTAATTTGTTTTTCCTTTAAATTAGACAACAAAAATTTAAAATGCATGAAAATAAAATTCAACATCGCACTAATACTGTCAATCAAAAGCCCCTAAAATATAATTAGGTCTCTTCCTAGTTTTTGAGTTTTTTTTTTTTCTAAAAAGATGAAAGTTTCTAAAGGAAGAGGTGGCTAAATTTTTCTAATCATTGCAAATATGGGCACCTAAGACTATACTACTAGATTACTTAAACCTTTTTTCTTGGCGTTTTTAGATTACTACAACATTGTGTGAATTATAGAGGAATTAAGTTAACCATATTTTTAAACTATGGAAGAGAGTTATGGAGCATAGGTTGCGGCGTGATATTAATGTTTCATAAAATCAATTTTGATTCATGTCGGGTAGGTCAATTATTGAAGATATACATTTATTGAGCGGTTTGATGGAGAAGTATAGAGAGAATAAGGAGGATCTACATTTGATATTTATTGATTTAGAGAAAGCATATGATAAAGTTCCAAGAGAAGTGTTATGGCTAGAAAAGAAAGGGATTTATAATGCTTATATTCAACTCATTAAGGATATGTATGCATGAGTTGTTACTTGTGTTCAAACACAAGGTGGTTTTACTAAGTATTTTCCTATTTCAATTGGATTACATCAAGGATTAGCCTTAAGCCTACATAATTTTGCTTTATACATAGATGTTCTTGTGCGCTCTGAAATATTCCATTTTGCATTCCCTGCCTCTTCACATCAGTCTATTTCTTTTCTTTGTTTATTTGCGATGGCAGAGTTTTAACGGATTTATGTTCCAGGTGAATTTTCAGAAGGCATATTGGGTTTTAGATAAGACACTACCAGAGATTTAGCCCTAATTTTGCGAGTACTTTATGATATGAGTTCTGGTTTATTAAAGGCGCAAGCCCTATAATTAATTACCCCTCCTGATAACAAGAGAGAACTTTCGATTAAAGCTAGTCGTTAAAGAGGTCGTATAGGTTATAAATCTAGTGTATATAATTTTAGGGTTTGAATTTGATTTTATGATTTGAAATTTATCATCATGAACTTAAAACTAGTGCTGGGGGAATGAAAACAAGCCCGATCAAGATCCCATGGTTTCGTCATCCCCGGTTGTCATGATCCCTGGCCTACTTAATCAGAGGAGGTTGTCGACCCAACCTGATAGAAGGCACCTGGCCTTATCGGCAATCATGGGTTGGTTCGTCTAAGAATACATTGTAGATCTAGGTTGGTGTTGATTTAAGGGGATATATCTAAATCCACCTTAGCTAACAGAGAGCTTTGTGCCTATTGAATATACCATATGATTCATTACTCAAGGGTTTGACGCCGTTGGGGAACATACGAGCTTTGGCCGTGATCGTAATATAATTGTGCCATTTTGCAGCAAAACTACCCCAATCAAAGGGCGCATGTCACGTCCCTGCTGGCAAGAGGCTATCTGTGGATAAAGCTTAGTGATACACCCAAAAGAACATTCGCTCTTTGTGAGATGAGGTTAATTTTAAAGTTATCGCCCTTGACAAACAGTTGCGGGAGGTGAATAGGTTTTAGTTTTAAGTTTTTTAGGTGTTAGATTTTATTTCAAGAATTTGGGCTTTTATTGGATTTAAGATTTGATCCCTTCGGTTGAAATTTAATGTCAACACGACCATCATCAGGGTGGAGTTTGAAGTCACTTGTATTCTCATAGAAATATGGGAGGCATTTTATGATTTAAATCAGGTCGACACCAGTCGTTTCATAGATGAGGATAAAACTTGAATATTTAACTAGCGGAGCATTCTCAATCATTGGCATTTGCAAATATATCACATTTGTCAAAGCATATAACAGTTTTGTTTACTTTGAAAATAAAATGAGTATTTGACCATGTGTAGCATTCTCGGATATTTGTATTTATAATTTTAACACTTTTGTCAGAGCACATTAAGGATATGTTGCACTTCAGTTTAGTGGGACCATATTTATTACATAAAGGGGTATTTTAAATATTTGAATATGATTCATTGTGCCAGTGATTTCATTTAAAAATGTCCAAGATTTCATTCAGAAAGGTCTACAAACGTCTTATGTCCTCTTGTAAAAGTATCTTGCGGATTCAGTGACTTTACTCTAAATTAGGTTTTAATTCTAACACATAGAAGATATCCCTTTGTCATTATTATCCCACTCAATATAGCTTGCAGGGAATGCTTATTCAATAGGCATTAGGAGATCGTGCTCTTGTTCATGGGAGAATTATCTTGCTTGTTATAAGTTTTCCTATTCTCTTTTAGGGTTTAGGGTTTAGGGTTTAGCCCTTGGGTCAACTCAAGTTAGGAATTGGGCTAACCCAAAGTGGTCAAAATGACTATGGGTTGAGTCATTTCCCAACCTAGACCTCCCCATACCCAACAAACACCTCCATTTGGTGGTCCAAGGTCCAACACACCTACCCTAGTCATCCTAGCCCTTGAGTTAACTTGGGTCAACCCCTAGGCTAGCCCAAAGTTGTTAAAACCTCTTTGACCTGAGCCATCTTATATTACACACCCAATTGACACTTGCATTGGGTAGTACTTGACTCATCACACCTCCCACATCAATCCCATGACTTGGCTTGACCCATGTTGCACCCAACCTGATCCATCCATACAGGTTTCGATCAACTTGAGCCATCCAAGTGAATTGGCTTGCCTCCTACCCAATTGAGTCCATGGTTGAGTTCACCATACCCCCAATTAGCTTTCCACCTAAGATTGACCAAGCTAGTGGCCAGTTGCTGACGGAACGAATGAAAACCAACTCTTATGGTCCCCCCTTCACGAGCTTTAGCCAAAGCTTCCCAAAGGCCTAAACTCATCCCCATTAAGCTTAAAATGACTCCCCAGGTTGTCTCCTTGCACCTGATAGCCATCCAATGGCTTGCCCGGGCCATCCAATGGCTTGCACGAGCCATCCCAACTGTCCATGGCCACGGGGGTCACTTGAATAGGGCAACTTTATGCAGCTGAATTCATTCACTCTCAGCATTTCAAAAACTCTCCCTATAGTTTCCCACGTCCTCCTCTCTCATTTCCCTGCTCTTCCAGGCTATCAGTTCGAGTGTACTTTGGTGAAAACTTTCCTCCACCCACTCAAAGTCATATCTTTGGTCATCCTCTGGTTGAGACGTCTAAAGGAGAAGTGTTGCTCTTCATCCCCTGAAGCTTCTTGATAGAAAATCACATACATTGGGGCTTTCTATGTTGTAAAATCCTATTCTCGAGCTTCTATCTTGGTTGTGTTGGCCAAGTGTGAAACAAACCGTCAAGCCATTGGAATCTGACAATTGGATTGATGGTTTGTAGCATCTTAATCCTTCCCATGAAGTTTGATTGAGATTTGCCAACGGGATCTCTCAGATCACATCAGAAATATTATATGGCTTCAGCCACCTCTGAGAGGTTGAAGATGTAATCCCAGTCATTGATCTCGATCAACGACCTAGATTAAATCTTGTTGTTTCGGAGTAGCATTAATCATAGCTGTCATGTCAATGATCTGACGGCTATAGTCGTTTCCATGTTTACATAGTCAATGCCAATGATTAGCTTCCTAATCAGAGCGCACCCGCATGTAAAAGTCTGCTAACTATGTAATTTCGAATCAAATAAATCTAAAAACCATGAGAAACTTTAAATTTTATTATCTCCCAATCCACTTGACCAAATTAGGTATTCTTAGGTTCATTGGAAATATCTCGTGGAGATATTTAAAAGCCTTATAGTCTCAGGTTGTGAAATTGCATGAAACTCGGTGAATTCTAGTAGTTATCCTAGGGCTATTTTTGGTATTTCTCCTAAAATTGAACTCACCAAAACTTGAGACTTTGGCGAATTGAATTTAGGCATGTCTATGACATGTCCAAATTTTCTTCCCCCTATTTGATTTTTCTAAGGGCATGTTTGATTCAATTTAAACTTAGGGGTCTTGGTTTGACTCCTAAGTTCAAATTGGCTTAATAATCTTTCCAATGAGAATTAGGATTTGATTGTTTGTCTATTGATTGTGCATAGGATAGAGAGTTTAAAGCCACTAATTTCATCTCTCCCTTTCCCTAAATAGCGAGTTAAGATTTTTCTAAGGTAACCCTATTATTACCTTGGATGGTTTGGTTAACCACCTTAGGGGATTCAATTTGGACCTAAACCCAGTGGGCATGGGCCTTGAGTTTAGGTGAACTCATGACCCAAATTTCACTGAAAATAGAGCCCATTTGTTCCACCAACAAGGGAATCCAAAATTCTCTCATAGATTTTATCTAGAGCTTTAATTAAATCATAATTAATTCATATAAAATCTAAAAAATCTATATAATACACCAAATTGCTCATAATTTAACTATTAATTCAATAAAAATAAAAGCCCTTTGATCAGATCATTAATTTAGGGCTAATCTAATTTTTAATGAAATTTGACCTTTAATTATTTTAATTAAATAAATATTTTTAAAAATTCCAAATACCATTGGACTCTTGGGACTACCCCCTAAGTATCAAAATCCCCAAATCTTTTCTAATTAAATAATTTTAAAAATTCAATTAATATCCAAACTTTGAAAATTCATAATTAATTTTAAAATTTTCAAATTGAACAAATTTAAAGTCATTTAACTCTAATTAAAATCTAATATTATTTAAAAATGTCAAACCTCCAAAGTTAAGTCAAAGTTAA